GACTGGATGATCTGGTGAACTGGAAAGTGACCTGAGATGACATGATGTGAATTGGAGCTATAGAAATAAACTGAATAGAATATAACTTTGAAAAGTCAGTAAAGATCTCATTGGTCAGATAGGGAAACGGCCATGTTGAACTGAAAATGCATAATCCTGCAGGACAATATAAAATCAGCGCGGTTGGTGTTTGCAAAAAGGCATACAATAGGACAGCCATGTTCTCATCTACTACAGGCTTGTTCTCAGGGTTTCAATTAGGGCCTCCTGATTTCCCTCGGGGCCGCTCCCTTTCATGGAGAGGCCTCATTAACAGAAGAAACACAAACGCATGCACACTCAGCAGGGCTGCATGCAGTAGTGCTCTAGCTCATAAACAGACCCCTCAGAGCTTACCCCCGTCTTCTCATCAAAGATCTTGATCCCTCCAAAGGAGACAGTCAGAAACACCTTCTGCTTGTGTTCTCCTTTAGACCGTGCTGCAGCAGCTATCCCCTGCAGATCAGAGACACACACAGTCCAAAACAATCGCATTAGGAACAGAAATGAAATACATGAAGAGAGTAAAGGGAATGCCCATAAGTAGAATATTGCTCTCATGGTGGATTACCCCTCAGTTTTAGCAACAGAACCACACATGGTGGCATCACTTCAGCATAAGACAATCTATACCAGACATTTTCTTTTCATGTGTAGCAGAAGATTATGTAACGTCTGGAAATGATGAAAGATGTGTCATTTTTGCACATTTCGTACCTTTTCCGCCCAGCAGGTAGTGTCAAGTTGCTGTCAGACTATTTCTTATCTAGCCATATATGTTGGCGTATCTAAAATGCATTTCACAGAGGTCTACATATGAAGAAATGAAGCACATCTTCCAAAACATTAGAGTCACATCCAATCGTCGCGCAGTGTGTTGGTTGGGATGGGTTTCCATTTTGTGAGTGTGTATAAAATAGATGGAAAGCAAAGCAAAGTCTGCTACTGTTTGAGGAAAAAGAAGTTATTTTTTTATTAAGTTATAATTTTTAAGTCATATTTTTTTTCTCTCTTTCTTAATGATCATCTCACCATTTGGGAGGGAAGTTTGTTGCTGTATACACAGATACCATGGCGATATGCTTGAAAAATGTATCACCTTATAAACCTTTAATATCAGTCGATGTCGATAAATATTGATTAGTGTTTTTTATTTATTTCAAATAAAAAAATGTGATCCTAACCCTGTTTAAAGCCTCGCTATTGCTTAGTTTGTCCATTAGAGGCTGAATCCTTTCCTCTGCCTTTATCCTCCAGGTTACTGGCTGGTTCTGGATCAGAGTTCAGTGGATTGGTTATAGTGTAAATGTGTTCTATTTTCCATTAGCCTTTATTATACATAATAGAACAAAAAACACTAATAAATAATTATTGATGCTGGCTGATATGGAAGACATTGTGTTTATATCTCAGCCATATTGCAAAGGCCTAAATAGTGGAGGGCATTTATGGTGTCATTTATTGTTATTGTGTTTTTAGTCGTGATACGAATCTTGAATCATTGTCTTAATGATAAATTAGAATCAATGATGATTAAGAACTTTGGTGAATTGTCAGAAATTTTAATTTCATTCTTTGTCTTCTTTCTATTGGGACATCGGAAAATTGGAAGAATTTGATTAAATGTGACTTCTACGAGATATTTTCAGTGATGAAACTCATCATCTTTAAGTAACTGATGTCCTGAAGAAACCAATTTTAAGTGAGTTATTTGTGGGTCTATGACTAGTGTAAGATGTCATAACCATGCAGTTGCCTAAGAAGGACTGATTAAGCCAAATCTGACTTTAAACTTCTCCACAACCGTTTATCTCAGACCTGCCTGGTGTGTTCCTTGTTCTTCATGATGCTCTCTTAGAGCAGGAGCGTTGATTACACAAAGTGGATTCTATTTATCGTTATCAGTCATTTACATCAACATTAGATCATTCAGACATTCTACCTGAGTTTCCTGCACTGAAAGTAAAGGGTCTGATTTATTTGCACGCCCCACTCTTCCGTTTTTTATTTGTTAAAGAAGATTAAAATTTTGTTCCACTTCATGATTGTGTCTCACAGTGATCATTTTATACAGTGGTAGTGTGGAAGCTCATTGGTAGAATTCTCTTATGACAGAAAGAAGGCCGACGAT